ATCGCGCCGAGGAGCACCCCCCAGGCGGGGAACCCCAAGCCAAGGAGGAGGCCGGCCGCGAAGGGCTCCACGCCAAGCTGCCGTCCAGAGAACGGCCCGCCATCAGCCAGGCCGCCATCAGCCAGGCCTTCCTGCCGAAGGCCCACCCCAGCATCACGCCCTCGGCCATGCGCTTCAGAGATTCCCTCCAAAGCGCCGGCCCGTCCCGCGTGACCATCCTGTCCCGCTCCTCCCGGGGCTCCAGCAAAGTCCACCCCCAGTTCACCACCAAGGAATCAGAAACCTGGCAGGACGAGGAGAAGACTCACAAGCGCAAATGTGAGGGTTTGCCGGCCCCTCCCTCCCCCCCATCCCCCCCACTTCTTAGTGTCTAGCCCAGATTCGTCCAGACTTAATCCAGGCCCAGACTTCAGTCAGCCCCAGCTGCCTTCAAACCAGGATCCTCAGATATCAGCTTCCTGAGTAGCTAGGATTATACACATTGAGCCACTGTCTTGTAATTTCTTCTTCCTTCCTTCTTTCTTTCTTTCCTTCCTTCCTTCCTTCCTCTCTCTTTCTTTCTTTCTTTCTTTCTTTGTTCTTTCGTTCTTTCTTTTTCTTTCTCTTTCCTTTTTCATGGCTTGAATTTAAACTCATGGCTCACACTTGTTAGGCATGTGCTTTACCACTCTTTTTGATTTTTAGTTACTTTCAGAGGCCCAGAACTGGCCTCAGATCATAATCATGCTACCTACAGACTCACAGGTAGCTGGAATAATAGGCATGATCCACCATGACCAGCTTATTGATTAACATGGAGATTATACTTTCTGTGCAAGCTGGCTTTGAGCAGAGATCCTCATGATCTCTACCTCCTGAGCAGCTGGAACTAAAGGCACATGCCACTGTATTCTCCCTCTCTCTATTCCTCCCTCCTTCCTTCCTTGCTTTTTTCCCTTTCTTTCCGTTTTTTTCTTCTTTTTGTGCTGGTAGAGGAGCCGGCACTCAGGTCCCTTCACTTTTCCCCTCAAGGCACAGGTCCACTTCAAACTTCTTGGTGGTTAATTAGAGATAAGAGTTTCATAGATGCAGGGCACTGGTGGCTCATGCCTGTAATCCTAGTTACTCAGGAGGCTGAGATCTGAGGATCACAGTTCAAAGCCAACCCAGGCAAGAAAGTCTGTGAGACTCTTATCTCCAATTAACCACTACAAAAAAGAAACAGGAAAAAAAAAAGTAGCTCAGGGACAGCGCTCAGGTACTGAGTTCAAGCCCCATGAGAGTCTCCATAGACTTTCCTGCCCAGGCTGGCTTCAGATTGTACACCTCAGATCTCAGCCTCTTAGTAGCCAAGATTACAGGTGTGAACCACTGATCCCTGACCCATCCTTTACTTTTTTTTTCTTTTTTTGCTTATGTGGTACTGAGGAATCGAACCTAGGGCCTCATGCATGCAAGGCAAACACTCTACCACTGAGCCACCTTCCCAGCCCCCATCCTTTACTTTTTGAATCTTGCCCCTCTGCAAGCCATGAGTTACATGTTTGGTCACTGCTTTATTCATTCACACATTCACTTCTGAAATACCAAGATTTGTCTTGTGTACGTGCCTGGCCTATGCAGGCCCTGGGATCACAAGGAGGAACTGGCACAGTCCCTGCCTGCAGGGGTTCTAGGCTGCATGAGGTCCATCAATCACAGACAGTCCTGTGCTAGGGGCTTGACATCCTCCACATCAAAACATTATTTCTGGGGACTCTGTATCCACATGTCCTCCACTAAATGGCGGGCTGCTGAGGACAGAGCCGGGAGTCAGTACCTTAATGGCTGTTACACAGTCCCCCAGTTCCTCGTAGTCCAACAAATATGGCAACAGTCCCATGAACAAGCAGAGACAGGCAAGTGATGGGCATGAGAAAAGAAGCCAGGAAGAACAAAGAAAGAGGAAAGGGAAAGCTCACCAGGAGGCTGGGGGTGGTCAGGAGAGGCTGGCTGGCCTTGTGTCACTTAACATGAGCACAACACAGAGAGATCCAGGACCAGGCATTTCAGAATCCACTCAATCCCAAACAAGCCAGCCACCGGTGGCCCACACCTGTCATCCTAGCTACTCAGGAGGCTGAGATCTGAGGATCATGGTTCAAAGCCAGCCTAGACAGCAAAGTCCTATAAATTCAATGAACCACCAAAGGATATCTGTGGCTCAAGAGGTAGAATGCCAGGCTTGAGCAAAAAAGCTAAGGGACAATGCCCAGACCCCGAGTTCAAGCCCCATTACCAGCACACACACACACACACACACACACACGTGTGCTCACTCTCACACACACACAAGCATGCACACATGCACACACACACACAATCCCAAACAAGTTGACCCCCAAACCAGAACAGGACTAGCACAGGGTGATACTAATGTGAGACCACAGGTCAGTAGGCAAAATGTTGATGAGCCCCACATCTGGTCTGAGAAGGTGCCTTCAGTTCCTAAACCCCTTCCCCCATACCTGCACAAACTTGACTTTTTGTCCCCTGTTACAGTGGGCAGGATCCCACGGATCCACAAGAAGATTCACGCTGGGAGTCTCGTCCAACAGATATTGGATAAAATATGCGCTATCCTGGGGACCCTGCGGATTATGACGCGGTCATTGACCTACTCCCTGGGCTTTGAAACAATCATCTTCCTTTTTGTCTGCCTTAACACCATCATGCTGGTAGCTCAGACCTTTGCTGAACTTGAGATCCGGGGTGGTAAGAGTCAGGGGCCCCTGTTCCTATGGAAAAGCCATTGATGTGGTCCCTGAGCCTGAGCTAATGATGGTCAATTTTCCTAGCCTGATCCTCACCCCTGGGATATCAGTAACTCCCAGTGTTAGCAGAGATGAGGCTCAGGAGGTTATTGCTGAGGTCAGCCAGATGGGCACTGGAAGTTTGCGGTTCATGGATGCAGCCACCAGGTGGTGCACCTGCTCTAAATATGTTCTGGGTGGGAAAGGTTCTGGGACCTTTGCCTGCCTTAGGGGCCAAAAGACCCCTAGAAAACCCTGAAGTAATCAAAGTAAAATTCTTTGGGGCCAAGTGTGGTGGTTAATGCCCGTAGCCTCAGTGACTCATATGGCAGAAATAAGTAGGAGACACTATCTGAAAAACAAAAAATAGGTCTAAAGCCAGGCACTGGTGGCTCACGCCTATAATCCTAACTACTCAGGAGACTGAGATCTGAGGATCACGGTTCAAAGCCAGCCCGGGCAGGAGAGACCGTGAGACTCCTATCTCCAATAAACCACCAGAAAACCGGAAGTGGCGCTGTAGCTCAAGTGGTAGAGCGCTGGCCTTGAGCTGAAGAGCTGAGGGACAGTGCCCAGGCCCAGAGTTCAAGCCCCACAGCCGACCCAAAAAAAAAAAAAAAATAGGTCTAAAGTTTCAGCTCAAGTGGTAGAGTATTTGCCTGCCAAGTTCAAGGCTCTGAGTTCAAGCCCCACCAAAAAAAAAAAAAGCCAGATGTTAGTGGCTCATGCCTGTCATCCTAACTGTACAAGAGGCTGAGATCTGAGGATCACAGCTAACAGCCAGCCTCAATGGTAAAGTCCATGAGACACTTATCTTCAAATTAACTACCAAAAAGCTGGTAAGTGGAGCTGTGGCTCAAATGGTAGAGCTCTAGCCTTGAGCAAAATAAGTGCAGAGACAGAGTCTAGGCCCTGAGTTCAAGCCCTAGGATCAGACACATACACTTACACACGTGTGTGCCTGCACACAGAGTCTAGGGAGCAGAACCTACCATGTGCAGACAACAAAACTAAGGTAGAGAGTGGTTAAGTCACAGCCATTTACGGGAGAGTCTCTGTATTTGGATCTTTGGGGGATCCCCGTGGGAAGGGGAAGTAGGGTGGGGCATGGGATGCTGCAGCAGCTCTAAGCAAGTCCCTGGTGTCTCCACAGAGTGGTACTTTTTGGTCTTCGACAGTATTTTCCTCTGCATCTACGTCTTAGAAGCCCTGCTCAAGATCATTGCCCTGGGCCTGGAGTATTTCATTGATCCCTGGAACAATCTGGGTGGGTGGGGCTGAGAATGTAAAGGGGGGGGGGCTGAACTATGTGGGGTCTCCCTTCAGTGTGGGTTAGGGGTTCAATAGATCCCTCCCCACTCAGGTACCCTCTTTACCCCCAGACTTCTTCATCATGATCATGGCAGTGCTGGAATTCGTGTTTATACAGATCAATTCCCTCACCTACTCCTTCTACAACCACAGCATCTTCCGGATCCTCAAGGTCTTCAAAAGCCTGCGGGCTCTGCGGGCCCTCCGGGTCTTAAGGAGACTCAGGTTTGCACAGCCAAGGCTGTTCTCCCCGAGTGAGGAAAGGGGGACAAAAAGCCCAGGCACCAGGAGCTCAAGCCTGTAATCCTAGCTATGCAGGGGAGTGAGATCTGAAGATCACAGTTTGAAGTCAGCAGGGTGGAAGGAAAGTCCATAAGACTCTTATTAGGAAAACACAGGAGAAAGGAAAAGGAAAAAAACAGACTCGGGCCCCAACAGGTTAGGACTGTTTATTGAGGCACAGCAAGGGGGGGAGACAACGAACTTTCCCATAGGTATGGAGGTTGTGTAAGGAGGTGGGGTTGGAATTGGGCTTTTATGGGGTCTGAGAAAGGAGACAGAGGTTATTGAAAAGGCTATTAGGGCTGGAAGATGGGGGGGGGAAGGCATTCAGTTAGGCCCACCATGCAATGTTGACAGCCAGGCTTAAATTAGATTGCCCTGCCCACACCTCAAGACATCAGCACATACCTGGAGTCTTGCCTGACTTCCATATGCACCTGGGATAATAGGGTGGGAGTCAGTCCTTCAACTCTAATCTCCAATTAACCACCAAAAAGTTGGACGTGGAGCTGTGGCTCAAGTGGTACAGTGCCAGCCTTGAGTGAGAAGAGACAGTCCCCAGGCCTTGAGTTCAAATCCCAAGTACCAGCACCAAAAAAATAGGGAGGGAGGGACCAAGGGATGGATGGATACAGCCCTGTTTCCAAGGAATCCAGTGATGAGGAAGAGGAGTTCCAGCCTTCACCTGGCTTTTAATAAACCTAATCTGGGATCCACGGCTGGGATTAATGTCTTCGTTTTCCAGGGAAGGGCTAGGACTTGCTAAATTACCAGCAAATCATGGATCCCCAGCCTTTCCCCTCCCCCCCCCCACTGTTTCAGCCTCTTTTTTACCTCTGCCCACAGCATCCTGACCAGTCTCCACGAAGTGACAGGGACCCTGGCCCGAACCTTGCCATCGATCACCGCCATCCTAATCCTCATGTTTACCTGCCTCTGTATCCCCAGCAGGGAGGCAGAGGGCGGAGCGGGTCCATGAGGGTCTGGGGCAGCGGGCGGAGCCTGGGGCGGGGCGGGGCCACGAGGGGCTGAGACAGCGGGCGGAGCCTGGGGCGGGGCGGGTCCATGAGGGTCTGGGGCAGCGGGCGGAGCCTGGGGTGGGGCGGGGCCACGAGGGGCTGAGACAGCGGGCGGAGCCTGGGCGTGGGGCCGAGCAGGAGGCGGGGCGGGAGGCCAAGGTGGGATGGGAGCCTGGTTTGGCCCTGAACTGCCTGCCCAGTCCTCTTCTCTGTGGTTCTCCGGGCTCTGTTCCGCCATTCGGACCCCAAGCGTTTCCAGAGCATCTTAACCACTATCTTCACCCTCTTCACCCTGCTCACCCTGGATGACTGGTCCCTCATCTATTTGGATAGTCGGGCCCAGGGTGAGTGGAGGGCAAGAGTCAGGCCGGGTGGGCAGACTCTGAAGGCCTTAGCTACCCATCTTCTGCAATGCGAGGGTTGAGGCCTACTGGAAGGGGTGTGGCAGGCGGAGGAGAGCTAGTGGCTTCACCCTTGTCTCCTCCTCCCTCAGGTGCCTGGTACATCATCCCCATTCTCATGATCTACATCATCATCCAGTACTTCATCTTCCTCAAGTGAGAACCCCACTTTGCTGCCCAGCCTTTCCCCCCTAATGCACTCCCCACCCCCCACCCCCGCCCCGCTGAACTCAAAGGCAGTTACAAGACCTCTCCTCTGGCATCTCCTTTGAGAGTACCCCACTGTCGCCCCTTCTCCAGCCTGGTGATTGCGGTCCTAGTGGATAACTTCCAGATGGCTCTACTCAGAAACTTAGAGAAAGTGAAGCAGGAGGTACTAGGGAGGGAGGAGAGGTGGCATAAAAAGCTAGTGCTCCAGGACTGGAAGCAAAGAGTTCCAGCAGGACTAGAGCCTTTCCCTCCTTGTCCCAGAAAGCTGCCCAGATCCATGAGAAGCTGCTGGACGACTCCCTGACAGAGCTTAAACAAGCAGGTACCTGCCCTGCCCCCCTCCTCCTCTCAGCCTCCCTCCACAGCCTGGCACCAAATCACAGGTTCAGTGATTCTGAAATTCGAGAAGACACTCTAAGTTTGGAACCTTGGTGCAAAGGATTTCAGGACAATCTTGCAAGAGCCAATTCATCATCATTTCTTTTTGGGGGGGTCAGTAGTAGGGCTTGAACACTGGGGGCCTGGGAGCTGTCCTTCATCTCTTCAGCTCAAGGCTAGTGCTCTACTACTTGAACCACAGCACCACTTCCGGTTTTCTGAGTGGTTTATTAGAGATAAGAGTGTCACCAACTTTTCCTGCCCAGGCTGGCTTTGAACCGAGATCCTCAGATCTCAGTCTCCTGAGTAGCTAGGATTACAGGCATGAGCCACTGGCACCCGGCTCATCAGTTTTTTTTTAATGGTTTTATTGTTGTTGTTAAGGTGTTGTTCAGAGGGGTTACCATTGCATAAGTCAGGTAATGAGTACATTTCTTTTTGGATAATGTCATCCCTTCCTTTCCTCCATTCCCCCCCTAATGATTAATTCTTTTCTTTTTTTTTTATTGTGAAAATACTGTACAGAAGGATTACAATTACATGGGCAAGATAATGAGTACATTTCTTTTTTTTTGGGGGGGGGGTCTGGTCGTGGGGCCTGAACTCTGGGCCTGGGCACTGTCGCTTTGCTCTTCAGCTCAAGGCTAGCGCTCTACCACTTAAGCCAGAGTGCCACTTCTGGCTTTTTTCTTTTTGCTTATGTGGTGCTGAGGAATCGAACCCAGGGCCTCATGCATGCAAGGCAAGCGCTCTACCACTGAGCCACCTTCCCAGCCCCAATGAGTACATTTCTTATCAAGCATTGTAGCCTCCTCCTTTGTATCCCCTTCCCATCCCTTCCCATCCTCCCCCCACCCCCCAACCCAATCCTCCCCCCTACCACCTAATCATCAATTCTTGAAAGACACATTTAGAAAATAACTATCTTGTGCAATTATGATTCACCAAATCTCCATTTCTGGTAATAACAGAAAGTTCATAGCAGCTGGGCTTCAGCAGATCCAGTAAAATCCCAGAAATGAACCTCCTCTATTCTGATTGGATCATGAACCTAATTTTGAACTAATCACTGCAGGCTGTGATTGGCCAGTCTGTAGTCAGTCATGTGATCTCAGAACTGAGGGTGGGACATGGCTCCAATTAGACATCATGCACTGAACCTGGGAGGTGGTGGTTCCTCTGGAAAACTAGAACAATAGCTAGGGAGTAGAACAGTAGAACATTTGCCTAACATGCAGGAGGTCCTAGATTCTATCCTCAGCTCCACAAAAATTATATGGCTAGTGCCAGTGACATGCACTTGTCATCTCAGTTATTGGGGGGGGGGTGGCTGAGATCAGAGGACGATGATTCTAGGCCAGCCTGAGCAGAAAAGTCTTCAAGACTCCATTTCAACAGAAAAAGCTGAGTGTGGTGATATGTATCTATCATCCCTGCTACAGCAAAAGTAAGCAATACACAGACAGAGCTGGGCACTGGCTCATGCCTATAACCTTACCTACTCAGGAGGCTGAGATCTGAGGATAGCAATTCAAAGCTGGCCCAGGCAGGAAAGTACATGAGACTCTTATTTCCAATTAACCACTGAAAAGCCAGAAGTGGAGCTGTGGCTCAAGTGGTAGAGCAATGCTAGCCTTGAGCAAAATAAGCTCAGGAACAACTCCCAAGCCCTGACTTCAAGCCCCAGGACTGACACACACAGAAAAAGGCAGATTGAAGCCCAGACATATGCAGAAAGCAAAACTTTATCTTAAAAATATATGGGGGGAGGCTGGGAAGCGCTTGCCTTGCATGCATGAGGCCCTGGGTTCGATTCCTCAGCACCACATAAGCAAAAAGAAAAAAAAAGCCAGAAGTGGCGCAGTGGCTCAAGTGGTAGAGCGCTAGCCTTGAGCTGAAGAGCTGAGGGACAGCACCCAGGCCCAGAGTTCAGGCCCCATGACTGGACCCAAAAGCAACAACAACAATAACAACAAAAAACAACAAAGAGCTTAAGGCCCAGAGTTCTAGGCCCCAGTACCAGCACCATAAAAAAAAAGAGGGGGGGCTAGGAAGGTGGCTCAGTGATAGAGTGCTTGCCTTGCGTGTATGAGGCCCTAGTTTGATTCCTCAGCACCACATAAGCAGAAAAAAAAAGCTGGAAGTGGTGCTGTGGCTCAAGTGGTAGAGTGCTAGCCTTGAGTTGAAGAGCTGAGGGACAGCGCCCAGGCCCAGAGTTCAGGCTCCATGACCGGACCCAAAAAAAAAAAAAGAAGGCAAGATGCATGACTCAGAGCCGGGCCCCAGAAGCTCATGCTTGTAATCCTAACTACTCAGGAGGCTGAGATCTGAGGATTATGGTTCAAAGCCAGCTTGGGCAGGAAAGGCTATGAAACTCTTATTTCCAATAAACCACCAGAAAACTGGAAGTTGTGCCATAGCTCAAGTGGTAGAGCACTAGCCTTGAGCTGAAGAGCTGAGGGACAGCGCTCAGGCTGAGTTCAAGCCCCATGATGGACAAAAAAACGATTCATGACTCAGAGGTAGAGCACATGCTTAGCAAGTGTAAGGCAATGAGTACTACCAAAAATAATAATATTAACTTATCAAACTAAAGGAATAGATAAATGAAAGAACAAAGTCACTACCCATTCCATTGAAGATATGACCTGTTTGGCATATGTTGGATGCAAAATTCCTTAAGGCAGCCTTATATCTGACATATGGGGTTCTTGTTCCCCCTCAAAACCTGACACACCTCCCTCTCTCTCTCTCTATGCAGAAAATGAAGAAATCAAGAATTCAATTGCCTTGGGAAAGGAGTTCATTGAGAGAAAGTTCGGGACCATGACAGAGAAGTGAGGAGTCCAAAGGGAGAGGGGAGGCCTAAGGCTGGAGATCTGGGGGTTCTCACAGGACAGTGGCTGAGCTGGGAGGGAAAGGGATGTTGTTTAACTCTCTGGAAACAGAGTGGAGCATTGAGGCCTTTGCCCATGCCAACAAGTGGGGCATGAGACCATGGGTGGCCCATGGACAGGGCAAGGCAGGGCAGGGCCCAACTTTAAGAAAACAGGACCCCAAGTGGCCCTCCCTGATGGACCAGCCCAGAAGACCAAGGGGAATCTTGACTGAAGATGGAAGTTGGAAGTCAGCAGGGGCAGACAAATCTGTGAGATTCTTCAATTAACCACCAAAAAGCCAGAAGTGAGGCTCAAGTGGTAGAGCACCAGCTTTGAGTAAAAAAGTGAAGGGAGGCCCTAGGAGTGTGTGGCTTAGTGGTAGAGTGCTTGCCTAACATGTATGAAGGTCCTAGGTTTGATTCCTCAGTACCACATACACAGAAAAAGCTGGAAGTGGCGCTATGGCTCAAGTAGTAGAGTGCTAACCTTAAGCAAAAGCAGCTCAGGGACAGTGCCCAGACCAGAGAGAGAGAGAGCGCGCAGATGGCAGATAACAGCTAGGTGGGTAGACAAGAGTGGGGGATTGTAGCAGAACATTTTGGGCATAAACCTGGCAGCTAGATGATTAACCCCCTTGCTGTTTATTCTAGTGCTCCATCTGTGTGTCTAGGGTCCTTGGCATGGCCTCTGCTTCCTGGCTCTCAACCTCTACTCCTGTGAAGTCTTTCTGGAAACTGTCTGTAAACTGAGCCCTTCTCATCCTGTCCAATCTGGCTTCAGCCTGGCTCCCACAGGGCATGTTGGCAGAGCACTGGCATCCTCTGGGCTCTGCTCACCCTGAGAGTCCAGGCTCTGCGGACTGGCCTGCAGGGCCTTCGTGATCAGTCTGTGCTAGCCTCCATTGTGCCACGCTCCGCACAACAACGCTCCTGCGTTGTTTACATCTCCCAAATACGGCACATGGCTTCCAACCTCCAGGCCTTTGGCCTTCTCTGTGAGGGTTGTCCAGTCTCAGGTGACAGGAGTGAAGAAAGGCCATTCCTGTCCTGGTTTGCTTCGCTTCTTGGGGCCTCCTGTGCTCCATCTCTGTTCTAGCACCTGGGACACCACCCTGCTCTAGCTCTTTTCTCTGGGTGCATGGTTCCCCACTGCTCAACTTCACTGAGAACAATCTTTTTTTTCTTTTTTCCTGGTCTGAACTCTGGGCCTGGGTGCTGTTCCTCAGTTCTTCAGCTGAAGGCGAGCACTCTACCACTTGAGCCACAGCGCCCACTACTGGTTTTCTGAGTGGCTTATTAGAGATAAGAGTCTCATGGATTTTTCCTGCCTGGGCTGGCTTTGAACCTCGATCCTCAGATCTCAGCCTTCTGAGTAGCTAGAATTACAGACTTGAGCCACCAGCACCTGGTAGCATATATTCTCTCTCTCTCTCTCTCTCTCTCTGGTGGAAGGCAGACTTGAACTTGGTACCTGACACTTTCACTCATTGGCTAGCGCTCTACTAACTGAGACATGCTTCCAACCCAGGAATATTTTTCTCTTCTGAGTCTAAGCTCCTGGCATAGTTTCTTCTCACTGACACTTCTGAATGTTTCATCCCCTCACTCCCTGAAGCAGGCTTTTCAGAAGCCTGCCCCGGCCCTTCGGTGAGTGACGAGGCGCTGCTGTGCGGAGCACTGAGCCCCACCTGGCAGCCCTTCACACGTGCTCGTGTTAGCTCCATGCTGCTCCTACCAGGAACCCTCCAGGCCCCAGCACTGGGTGTGACTTCCCTCTTGGGAGCCTTGAGCACCCCATGTTTATACTATGTATTGTGCATGGGTGGCTGTCTGGATCTGAGGGGTGAGGCATCTTAGTCATCTTTTATGTCCTTGGCATTCCTTGCTCATTGTTTCCATGGTAGTTGGCGGGTAGATTGATAAGATCTAATGGGTTGGCGGATGGGTAGGGTGGTGAGTGAATGAGTGGGGGGTGGGTGGGTGTTTACGTGGGTGACTGAGTGCCCAGTATGGCAAGGGCCACACCTTGCCCATGGGTGGGTGGGTGAGCACAGGTAGGAGCGGTGGTGGGCTTGGTGAGTGAATTGATATAGGTAGGCAGACGGTTGAGTGGTCCATGGACAGAGAATGGGGCAGGCAGATGGGTAGAAGGAGGAATGAGTGATTGGAAGGGTAAAGAGTTAAAGGGTAAAGAGTCAGGCACCAGTGGACCATGCCTTTAATCCTAGATACTCAAGAGACTGAGATCTGAGGATCAGGTCTGGAAGCCAGCCTGGGCAAAAAAGTCTATGAGACTCTTATCTCTAATTAACCATCGAAGAGATTAGCACTCCCCTTGTGAGTTAGCACTCTACTACTTTGGTAGAGTGTTATTTGGTAGAGTGCTAGCCTTGAGCACAAAAGTCAAGAAACAAGAGTCCAGGTTTTGAGTTCAAACCCCAGGCAGTACCAACACACTCGCGCGTGCGCACACACACACACACACACACCAGTTAATGCCAGAGCCTCCATGGTACAGGCAGACATGGGGACCTTGTCAGGTGTTGGGAAGGAGACATGTGAGAAATGGAGGTCTAGGGGGATGGAAGTTTTAGGGGCAGACTGGCACAAAGAGCCATGGAAGGCTCTGGAGGCCCAGAGGACACCGAGGCAGCCAGCCTAGCCCTTGCGTCTGCCCCATGTAGGCAGCAGGAGCTCCAGTTCCAGTTCCTGCAGCTGGTGGCTGCGGTGGAGCAGCATCAGCAGAAGTTCCGTTCCCAGGCGTCTGTCATAGATGAGATTGTCGACATTGCCTTTGAGGTGCTGCCTGCAGGGCCTGGGAGGGAAGCTGGGGAGAGGGGCTTCTTGGAGGATTCCTGCCCAGAAGTGGCAAGCCACAGGTGGTGTTAAGTGCTGGTACCTATTTACTCCATCTCCTGTCCAACCTCTCCCACAGGCTGGAGAAGAGGACTTCACTCAGTGACCGTGCAAAGTGCCACCAGATACAGAAAGACAAGCAAGCAAGCTGCCCGTCAGGGTGGAAGGGGACTGCTGGAATGATTGCTGGGCCCTGTATAGCTGGGATCTCAACAGAGTTTTTTAAACCCTCAGTGGCTCTGTGTCCTCACTGGCTGGGCCAAAGCACACTGCAAAGGAATTTGTACCCCTGTACACAAATCATGTCTAAAAGGTTGTTCTTTTGTTTTAGTCAGTCATGGGGCTTGAACTCTGGGCCTGGGCACTGTCCCTCAGCTCTTCAGCTTAAGGTGAGCGCTCTCTACCACTTGAGCCACAGTGCCACTTCAAAGCCTGCCTAGGCTGGCTTTGAACCATGATCCTCAGATCTCAGCCTCCTGAATAGCTAGGATGACAGGCATGAGCCACCTGCGCCCAGCTTGTTCTTTCTCTCTTTCTATTTTTTTGTATCTGTACTGAAACTGGGGCTTGAACTGAGGGCCAGGATGTTTTCCTTTAGCTTTGCCACTCAAGACTAGTGCTTTACACATGAACTGCAGCTCCACTTCTAGCTTTTTGGTGGTTAACTGGAGAGAAAAGTCTCTCAGACTTTCCTTTTTTTTTTTTTTTCTTTTTTTGGGTCCGGTCATGGGTCCTGAACTCTGGGCCTGGGCGCTGTCCCTCAGCTCTTCAGCTCAAGGCTAGCGCTCTACCACTTGAGCCACAGCGTCACTTCCGGCTTTTTTTCTTTTTGCTTATGTGGTGCTGAGGAATCGAATCCAGGGCCTCAGGCATGCAAGGCAAGTGCTCTACCACTGAGCCACCTCCCCAGCCCTCAGACTTTCCTTTCTGGGCTGGCTTTGAACAGTAATCCTCAGATCTCAGCCTCCTGAGTAGCTAGGATTACAGGCGTGACTTATGGCACTGGGCCAAAGGGGCTTTTCTTGGCTCTCCTCTGGCCTTACCAGGGCCCAGCATCCTAGCTCCCATCCAGCAATGCATTAGCCACAGTTAGAGAATGATACAGAAATGGGACTGGGATCCAGCACTGGCAACACTGCTGGGGGACAGAGCAGGAAGTACCCCACTTAGGGGAGGAAGGCTTATTTGGCCCAACAGTCAGGAGAAAAACAGGCTGGATAGCTCCAGATTGTCAGGGCTCGGGGGCTCAGTGATCTCCAGGAATGGGGCTCAGCACTCAGGAACTTGGGCCACCAGCCTGGCTATTCTAGGACTTCTGAGGAGTCCACCATCTATAAGCTGGCATCCTGTCCAGCCAGTAGCGGCCTGTGTTGGGTCCTGCAGACTTGGTACTGAGTCAAGTTTAAACCCACACAGGGATTGGTGGGTGGGGGCAGGGGAAGGGGGGCTTTCCCCATCTATAACTATCTCACCCTGAGTGGAGGTCCATCTAAGGTGCAGTGCAGGCTGGAGGGACTGGAGTGGAGCTCTGGAGTTTGACCAGCACCCTCACCCCACCCTGTGGTCTCACCTGTGGGCTGTGCCAGAGAGTGAGCAAGCCAAGCTCCAGGGCTTCAGAATAGTGACAGCTACTCTCCTCCTTGGCTTGGCCAGGAGTAGATTGTACAGGAAATGCCATCTGGAATTTGGCCATCGATTCCAGGGGTGGAGAAGCCACTCGGCAGACATCTCTGGCCCTGTTTGAGCCCTGGCATCACAGTCATTCAACAAGTATTTCCTGCTACCCAAGCCTGCGTCAGCCACATGCCTGAACCTCCTGTTTGGTGGCACCTGGGAGCCCTGCCAAGCAGCAGGGTGGGCTACCTGAGCTGCCATAGGCTGGGAAGTTCTAGAAGGGTTGCCGCCTGTGTTTCTGTCAAATACAGCCCCTCAGCTCCTCAGGCTTCCAGGTTGGATTAGATTTTTCTACTGATCCATTCCCAGCCTAATAGGGACTTCCGGGTCAGCAGGAGGGCTGACTATTGCTCATCAGATCACAGTATTGGGTGGAGGCAGGCGGCACAGTGGGGTGTGAGGCCTGCCTTAGAAGAAAGGGACAAGGGGAGGTGCGGTCCAGATCCAGGCAATCTCCTCGTCCTCTGTGGTCAGCCTGGGTCCCAGTGGGCAACACTAACTGCTCAAGACACCTGCTTTCTGCGTCCTGTCCTAGATGTGGGCGTGGCAGGGGTGGTGTTGGAACAATTCTGAGGTGCCACCCATGACTCTTTGTATGTCTGGGAACTGTGTAGTCTCCCTAGAGTGCACTACTTCTGTGTTTGGCCTGGGTTCCTGCATTGGAGGGACTTGAGGGTGTTTTTCTGGCCATGCTGGTGGTGTATGGAAGCATCTGCACATTGTGTCTGTGTGTGTTGTACAAGGGATGCTGCATCTGTCTTCTCGAAGGAGTATGAAGTGAAGTCCCTCCCCCTATGGGAACCACCCTTCTTCCTTCCTGTGGCAGCAGATCACATTTGTATCCTCTGGGAATGGGCCCAACTCCTTCCAGGGTCAGGCATTTTGGGGGAGTCGTCGTGATGCGTGGCTCACAGTGAGAAGGGCAATGACCCAGCCTTGCCTCCTGACTTCTTGGCCTTATAGGGGCTGTTCATTCCCCTCCTGTCATCACAGGCACAGCAGTATTTGTGGGCTCAGGGTTCAGTGCCCCTACCTGCACCCAAACTGCTCCAGGGTGCCGAGAGGAACAGGGCACAGGCTCCTCTTGAGAGCGCTCATGGCATGTGAGCCAGCTAATGTGAACATGGTCTCTCTCTGGTGCTTTGTCTCTGAGACTATTGGGGGTCTCTGGCTGTGTTGAGGGATGCTGGGGGTTTGTCTCTCTGTGATGTGGAGTGTTGTGGAGGCTCCAGATTTTGGGCACTGATCCCTGTTCCCTCAGTACTGTCTGGGCTGGTACAACAGAAACTGGCAAGGGTGCCCTGTTAGTTGGGGTGCTAAGGGCCTCTAGGAGGGGCAGAGTGGTGAGGATGGGGAGAGGTGAAGCAGATAAAAGAAACCAGTGCAAGAAGCAATGCTGATTATTTATTTAGCGACTTGTCCCCGGCCCTAAGGTGCCATGCGTGCTGTGCCACTCCCACCCAGCCCTGCTGCTGCCACTCGGGGGTCTGTTAAATCTGAGCACAGTTTTGCTTTAGAAGCTGAGAAGAGTTCTTCCAGGGAACTTGGAGGATCTCAAATTCACAGCGCAGCTTCTGCAGACAGAGAATGATAGACAAGCAAGGGTGAGCCTGGCTCCTGTCTCCTTCCAGCAGCCAGACCTCAGCCTGCCTTATTGCTCTGGGGCCAGAGATGGGCAGTTGGTGACTCACAAGACTTGAAATCACCAGGCGCTAGTGGCTCATGCCTGTAATCCTAGCTACTCAAGGGAATGATCTGAGAATCGAGGTTCAAAGCCAGCCCAGCAGGAAAGTCCATGTGACTCATCTCTAATGAACACCAAAGACAAAAACTAGAAGTGGAGCTGTGGCTCAAGTGCTCAGGAACAGCACCGAGGCTCTGAGTTCAAGCCACAAGCCTGGCACACGCACACACAAAAGTCTTGGAATCCAGGGGCTGGGAAGGTGGCTCAGTGGTAGAGCGCTTGCCTTGCATGCCTGAGGCCCTGGGTTCGATTCCTCAGCAACATAAGCAAAAAAGAAAAAAAAGCTGAAGTGGCACTGTGGCTCAAGTGGTAGAGCGCTAGCCTTGAGCTGAAGAGCTGAGGGACAGCGCCCATGCCCAGAGTTCAGACCCCCACAACTGGACTCCCCCACCAAAAAAGACTTAGAATCCAGCGGGACCTGTGGCTCACACCTGTAATCCTAGCTACTCAGGAGGCTGAGGTCTGAGAATCACCAAAGCCAACCTGGGCAGGAAAGTCTAGGAGACTCCAATAAACCACTCAGAAAACCAGAAGTGGAGCTGTGGCTTAAGTGGTAGAGTGCTAGCCTTGAGCTGAAGAGCTGAGGGACAGCGCCCAGGCCGAGTTGAATCCCCTCGACCAAAACAAATAACAAACCTGGAATCTAGCCTGGCACTGATGCCTCATGCCTGTAGTTCTAGCTATTCAGGAGGCTGAGATCTGAGGATAAATCTTGAAGCCAGCCTGGGCAGGAAATTTCCTAAGACTCTCTAATCACCAGAAAGCTGGAAGTGGAGCTGTGGCTCAAGTGGTAGAACCCTAGCCTTGAGCAAAAAAATTCAGGAACGGTGCTCAGGCCCCAAGTTCAAGTCCCAGTAGCAGCACAATCAAATAAACATAAGACATGGAACCTGATGGCCAAAGCTAGATCCTACCTGAACCAGAGCCCCAGCCTCCTCCACCCTGTACCCCACACTGGCCTGAGGCTGAGTCACCCAGAGGCTGGACAGGCTCTACCAGCTCAGGATGGCCGAGTTGCAAGCCAGGGCTGGGGGCAGTGCTGTTACCTCCTGATGCACTCCGGTAGCCAGGGGACAGGTGTTGAGGTCCACGCCACTTGTGTAGACCATGCTCTTCCTGCACTCTGTGCTCTCCATGTCCACCGTCAGGTAGTACTTGATGCCAGTTACTATCTGAGGGCAGGGCCAGGCAGGTCAGGGGTGCTGGCAGCCAAGCCTGGGCAGCTGCCCCACCCCCCACCTCTTTCCAGGGTCTCCCAATGCCCCAGGGACCTGCAGGGCTCTGGGGTGGGTGTGGGGTCTGTAGGAGAGGCGTGGGTCCAGAAGGAGGCTGAGATCTGGCCCCTGGGTAACACCTTCCTGCAGCCCAGACAGACATAGAGGGGCCCCCTGGTGCCCCTTGGCTTCTCCCTCTGCCCCCATCTCAGGGACCCTCAGGAAAGGAAAGGGGTGCTTGGTGCTTCTCGTGGATTTTGGCATTCATTTGCATTTTCAGGCCTTCTATGGAAGGTGTTGCCCAGGGCGCCCCCTGCCCCGCGGCTCAGCTCGCACCTGTCTCTCGGCCTTGACGATGTTCGTGTCCCGGAAGTAGAGGACGCTATTGCTGTCCATGTTGTAGGTGGCCACGGCCATCTGTGCCACCTTCTGCACCTGCGGGTCCTGGGGGGACACGGTCCGGCGTTCCCCGGTCCGGCGGCCCCGGAATTCAGCGCGGGCATCGGGGGACAGGGTGAGGAGGCAGAAGGCGCTAAGCCCATCGCCAGCGGGAGGTGTGGACGCGCCATGGCTCCAGTGCGGAGCCCAGCTGGGCCCAGTCCCTTTTACCGCTGCCGGCCCCGCCCCGCCCGCCCCCGCCCCGCCCCGCCCCCGCCCGGCGAGCCTGCTGGAGCCCCGGCCAAGGTGGCCTGGCCATCCGCCCCCAGTCCCGCCCGAGGCCCGCAGAACCCAGGCGCCCAGGCCTGAGGACCCCAGGGCGCTGCGTGCGCTGGGGCCCCGGAGAGCGGGCAAGCGCGCTCTACGGACAGCTCACACTGCCCCTCTGCTCACAGCGCTGGGGTTGAACTCACCATTTCCAGCCTCTGTGTGACCTAGGAAAGCCTCAGTTTCCTTTTCTGAAACATGGGTGTTAAGAGGATTTAATGAACTGACAAGAGTGAAGGGCTCCAGGGGAGATACCACCCCCTGCCAGAGCCAGCACCAGTCACTGCAGCCCTCTGCCCTCCCCTACCCCCCAGGGGAAGCCATTACTAATGCACCTGCTTTACAGGGAAGAGCCTGGCACAGAACCACAGCTGCTAACTCGAAACTGCCCAGGCAGTGTATGGGCCCAGCTGGGCTCACAGGATGGGAACTAGCTGGGTGTCTCGCTAGCTGCCAGCCTGGGCAACTGGCCGTCTACCTCCCAGCTCAGTGCCCTCACCTGGAAGAGGCGACACTCCTTGTCCCCTGAGGTGGTTCTGTCATTGACACCTGCAGCCTGTGCTACCTACAGGTCCCCGGGCAGGTACTAGCATCTCCCCCTCCTCAACATACCAGCCCCAGTGACAGTGACTTCTAGACCAAAGAGAAGCCACTGGCAGCCCCATTCGCCACCCTGCTCAGCTCAGCTGTGGAATATAACTGCCGCCACCTTGGGATTGGGAGGAAAGGGTGACAGGTGTGTTGTAGGTACAGGTAACTGTGCAAAAGGGACACATTCCACTTTGTAGGAGAGCTGGCCCAAGCTTGACTTGATGAGGAAACGCCAGACAAGCAGAGACCCTGCGTTGAGGAGTGTAGGTAGGGGGAGAGTAAGAGGCACAGGTCTGCTCACAGGGTGCCATGTCAGCTGTACCCCCAAACAGCCAGGAACCCTCCTGGGGCTCTTGGAGCTCTGCTCGCTCTCCCATCACGGGCTCTATCACGGTCACACTTACCTCCTATGACACTCTCAAAAACTATACAACCAGCGTGGCTCCACTTCTAATCACTAGAAGCAGAGTCCCCAGGGGGACAGGGGTCTGAAGTCTACTTGTCATTACTCTGTACCCGCGCCAGTGAGTCTTTGGTACTATGACCTAGCAATTTCCAAGGCCTGCAGTTTTGCTGTCGCCCACAGTACCCTCTCCTGCTCTTGGCTCAGTGGGCCTTGATGCCCTGGGCAGGACTTTAACATCTCCTTTTCCAAGATCAGGCCTTCTAGGGCCTTCTTGCTCCTTCCAGAATGTTTTCAGGGGCTGGGAAAGTGGCTCAGTGATAGAGTGTTTGCCTTGCATGCTTGAGGCCCTGGGTTTGATTCCTCAGCACCACATAAGCAAAAAGAAAAAAGCCGGAAGTGGTGCTGTGGCTCAAGTAGTAGAGCGCTAGCCTTGAGCTGAAGAGCTGAGGGACAGCGCCCAGGCCCAGAGTTCAGGCCCCACAACTGGACCCAAAAAAACCAAACCAAAACAAAACAAAAACAGACTGTTTACAGCTAGGCTCCCTTTCCCTGTCATAGCACATTCTGGAATGGAGACCTTATGGCAAGAACACCTGTGACCCAACAGTGACTAACAGACACCTGGTCTCTGGTGGTGACTCCATGGAGGAGTTACCCTATGTGCCCTCAGCGGCAGTGGAACCATCCCAGCCCTGCACCCCGGGTGGGAGGACACAGAGCTCAGGGCAGCGGCAGTAAAGGAACTTGCAGTTGGCTCTTCAGTCAGTAATGATACAGGAGGGATGTACCGAGGGGCAAACTGGAGTCCAAGACCATGAGCAGCTACAGTGTGCCTTCCACGCACCTGGACAGTTGCCTGGCAGGGTTGAAAAGGTGATTTGTTCTCTGTATGTCTATGCAGCTTCCCCCTGCTCCCTACTCAGGGGCAGCAGAATCCTGGGGTTAGCTCACCTCAAGCTCCAGGACAGATCTGAGCACTGAGAATTAGAGCAGATGAGAGGTCAGGCTCTAGCTGGGAACAAGGCTCACCCTTGTTTCAGGCTAGCAGGTGTCCAGGCCCAACTTGCTGGGCCTGTGGACACACTAGATAACCCGACTCTTGCCCCCTCTAGCAGCACCCAGGCCTTGGTCCCTTTAGCAGGCTGGCTGAGTTGGAGCTGGACCTCTGAGAGGTCATTCTGTCACATGTACAATCTACATGCCCTTTGTCCCCTGGTGCCCCAGGACTGCCCCAGGAACTTGTGTGGGATGCAATGTGGAGCCCAGAGAAAGAGTTCAAGGCCTGCCATCCTGCTCCAAGAGAAATACAAGAACGTACACTCCCTTGTTTGTTTGTTTCTCTGTCTTTGGGAAGGGGGTAAAGTGGACATAGAAATGGAGGGACAAAGGGTGAACAAATACAGCAGTGGTATTTACTAGACACTATGTTGAAAATGAACTATACAACTTGTGGGTAGAGGCAGGAGGGAAAGAGTGGGAGTGAGGGAAGGGACAGAATTGTTCAAAAAGAAATATACTTATTACCTGACTTATGTAACTGTAGCCCCTCTGTACAATACCTTTATAATAACAATAAAAAGAAAGACAGCAGGTTCTAAACCCTTTAAGACAAAGGATTTCAGTAAAGCCATTAAAAACAAAACAAAAAAACGGCTGGGAAGGTGGCTCAGTGGTAGAGTGTTTGCCTTGCATGCATGAGGCTCTGGGTTAGATTCCTCAGCACCACATAAGCAGAAAAAGCTCGAGGTGGCACTGTGGCTCAAGTGGTAGAGCACTAGCCTTGAGCTGAAGCACTGAGGTACAGCGCCCAGGCCCAGAGTTCAGGCCCAATGACTGACAAAAAAAAAAAAAAAAAAATGCCAGGTGCTGGTGACTCACTCTTGTAATCCTAGCTACTCAGGAGGCTGAGATCTGAGGATCATGGTTCAAAGCCAGCCTAAGCAGGAAAGTCCATGAAACTCTTTATCTCCAATAAACCACTAGAAGACCATAAGTGGTATTGTGGCTCAAGTGGAAGAGCACTCACCTTGAGCTGAAGAGCTGACGGACAGTACCCAAGCCCAGAGTTCAAGAAGTCCCACAACTGACCAAAACAAAAAACACCAAAAAACAAAAAAACAATAAAACATCATCACAGGCAGTTGTACAGGGTCTTCCCTCAGATCCCAAAAAGGCAAATTCAGGCAACCAGTATGGGATAGAGCCACAGGAAGGGCTCTGTGGAGGAAGGGGGACTCTCCCATTATGGGGCAGGGTGCCAGCAACAATCATGTATGGTCAGGACTGAGAAGTGGAAGGGCCCAGCCTCCGTGACAAGAGTTAAGGCTGTTTCTGAACCCAACCAGGAAAACATGGGCTACACAGTCTACAGCCTGAAACTCCAGGGCAGCCATTCCTGCTATATAGTTTGAGCTGAAGCACTTGAACAGCCTCCCAGGAAGTATCTAGAACCACAGCTGGGCCTTGCTGTGGGCCAGCTAGAGCCATACACACTGCCCAGACCAGCTTGACTGAACCCTCATTCTCATTCATGTCAACTGTGTCCCATTCACCCCACAGCTGTTCCATCCCCAGCTCTTTGGTTTTTCTCTTATCCTTGTATTATTTTGGGATGTAGCTTACACACAGAAAATGGCACAGTATGTTTTCGTTTTAACAAAGAAGAGTCAATACCTGTATCCCCACCTCAAAGGTCAAGAAATGGTAATATCAGAACTGGAGGTGCAGCTCAGAAACCAGAGCTCCAGACTTGAGCAAAAAAGCCAAGCAAGTCTCATGAGTTCAAGCCCCAGTACTAGCACAAAAGAAAAAAAAGTTACTGTCACCCCTAACCCCCAAATCCTTCCTGAATCACTCTGTTTTCCCTTTCCTAAAATAATCATTATGGATTTTACTTTTACAATTGACTTACCAATAAGCATTTTGTTGTGTTTTTTTCTTTTTGTTGTTTTGCTTTTTTAGGTGTAGGTATTGGGGTTTGAACTATGAGACTGGGTATTCTCCCTGAACTTTTTTGCTCAAGGCTAGTGCTCTACCACTTGAGCATCAGCTCCACTTCTGGCTTTTTGTGGTTAATTGGAGATAAGAGTATCTTGACTTTTCCTGCCCAGGCTTGCTTTGAACCCCGATCTATCCTCAGATCTCAGCCCCCTGAGAGGATTACAGGCAACACCTAGCCTTTTCTTTTCTTTTTTTAAGTTTCATCACACGCGTAGGGGTCATTGAGCAAGAATTTAATTCTTAACTTTGCATGAATCAAAGCATACCATCTTATGTCTAGCTTCATTTGCTTAATATTGTGGTACATAGGCTGCTGGGGCTTCCCTGGAAGCCTAAACCTAACACTGCCAGTGCCTAGCACCTCAAGATACATGGTTAATGTCCTTTCCTGGATGTTGATGTGTGTCAGTGTGTTGGAGCAATAATTCTGTTGTGGCACACTGGGCTCTGCTTGCGTTTGGGGGCTATGTTCACATCTCCAAGTGATCTCTTGGAGGTATGCTCCTTCTGGGTTCAGTCAGTGCTTCTGTGTTGCTACACAGGGGTAAGATTGAGGTGTGTTTGTGTGCATGTTTCTTTTGAATGTGTGTGTGTAACAAGTGGATTGAAGACACAAGCCCAGGTATGCAAGAAATGCTGTACGTTTCCTCTAAGGGGCAACTGCTTTCATGGCAAAGCATTAGGCTGGGGGGAGGGAGGAGGAGTGCCCACTGTGAGGATTGGAGAGGTACTACCCTGTGCTTGTAGCCTCTTAGCCTTCTGACCAGGCTGCAGCTTCCTCATCTGCACCCAAGCTGCTACTGGGTGCTGAGAGGACAGGGTACAGGCTCCCCTGCAGAGGGCATATGGCCCTGCACTCCCACTAGTGTGGGCTTTCACCCCTCCTCTGTCATTTTGACTCTGACCAATAGCCTCCTGTGACTATTGGGAGTCTCGTGCTATGTTGAGGGGTGCTGGAGGTTTGTCCCTCTCTGTGATGTGGGACGTTTGTGAGGGTTGGCTCTAGATTTGAGAGGACTGATACACTGGGCTCAGATGACGAACTCCCATGCTACCACCGTCGGGATGGCATGGGTGTTGTCAACTGGGATGCTGAGAACCTGTAGGAGAGGCAGTGGGTGAGGAGGGGGGAGTGAAGCACACAGTGTATGGAGTGCTGATGTGTGTCCACTCCCACCCGATCATGCTGCCTGCCCCCAATCCAGGCCTGCTACTGCCAAGCATAGATTCCCACCCCTAATCCCCTCCAGGTTCTTATGCTGCCCTAGGGACCTGCAGTGTATGGTATGGAGCTCTGGTAGGGGCTCCAGGGGAGGGGAAGAGGCCTGGATCTTGCAGAAGGCTGACACCCCCCACTGGGCACACCTTCCTGAAGCAGGGACAGATAGGTGGAGGGAGCTATCTAGTGCCTCTCTGGCTCTCTGCCCCTTCCTTTGGTAGAGGGAGGTGGAAGCAAGTTAGTTGAGTTATACACAGTTGGATGTTTTCTTTCAAATTTAGGTATTTTTCAATTGGATTTTTGGTATTTATCTGTTTTGTTTTCCCTTCCCCCAGTCCTGGGGCTTTTAACTTAGGGCCTGGGCACTGTCCCTGAGCTGCTTTTGCTCAAGGCTAGCACTCTACCATCTGAGCCATAGTTCTACTTCTGGCTTTTTCTGTTTACGTGGTACTGAGGAATTGAACCTAGGGTTTCATGCATGCTAGGAAAGCACTCTACCACTAAGCCACATTCCCAGCCATCTATCTTATTCTTAAAAATATTTCATGGAATGTCTCAGTTGTCATTTTGGGATCCCTTTCATCCAGCACTGGGCTGAACCTCACCGGCCTGGTTGCTGCACCTTGCTCTGTGCCTTAGGATGGTGCCACCCGAACAGTAGAATGCTCCTGCACATTTTGAAACTGGCCATGACCACCTGCCCTGGCTACCAGGGGCCCTTCCAGGGCGGGCCACTTACACTGCCCAGACTCAGCTTTGAGTGAATTCTCATGCTTACTATTGAGTTCCTGACTTATCTCATAATTGTTCCATCCTCAAGTCTTTACTTTTGCTTTTCCTTTTTATCCCATTATTCTAAAGTATAGCTAATACATAAGCAGTGACCTAAAACATACATCTCAGGGTCTTGGATATGTTAAATAGGAACTCTACCAGAGCCACATCTCCAGCCCCCAGATCCAACTACTGATTTTTTTTTTTGTCATGCAGCTTGAACTCTGGACCTAAGCGCTGTCCCTCAGCTCTTCAGCTAAAGGCTAGTGCTCTACCACATGAACCACAGTACCACTTCTGGTTTTCTGGTGATTTATTGGAGAGTCTAGACTTTCCTTCCTGTGCTGGCTTTGAACCGTGATCCTCAGATCTCAGCCTCCTGAGTAGCTAGGATTATAGGCGTGAGCCACTGGTATCTGGCCCAACTACTGATTCTTACAATAAGGATTTTTCTTGGTTTTAATTTTATCATACAAGTAGACATCACTAGGCAAGAATTACATTCTCAACTTTACAAGAATGGAACCAGTTTTGTTTCCTTTGCTCAGATTCTTCTGTTGTCCTGTGATTATTCACTTTCCTTGCTGTGCAGCTTTAATTACATACATATCCTAGCGCTGAGAACCATACTGCTATGCCCTGCTGGGGGCTCCTATAAAACCGGCAGGTGCGTAGGTCCTGGTACAGGTGTTGAAGTTTCTTGGAGGCCCAGTCCTGAGAATGGAATTGCTGGCTCACAGGGTGTGTCAGTTTTGCAAAATAACACTGAACTGTTTTTCTAGAATGCTCATAGCAATTTACTCCCACCAACTGGCTATCAGTTCCTGTTGCTCCATTTGCTCAACACTTGGTATTGTCCAACTTTGTGATTTTTGTTAATTGGGTGGGTGTTGATGGAATTTGCTGTTCTGATTACCAATGAAATTGTTTTCCTATGCTCACTGACTAATAGGATATAATCTCCTGAGGCTGCCTTTATCCTCTTGTCTGCCTTTTTCTCTTTCTTACCAGTCCTGGGGCTTGAACACAAAGCCTCAGCAGTGTCTTTGAACTTCTTTTGCTCAAGGCTAGCACTCTACCACTTGAGCCACAGCTCGACTCCCAGCTTTTGCTGTTTATGTGGTACTGAGGAATTGAATCCAGGGCTTCATGCATGTAAGGCAAGGACTCTACCACTAAGCCACATTCCCAGTCCCATCTTGCCTTTTTCTTGACAGAGCAAATATATATGTATATACACATACATATATATGCTCGGGTATGGTTGTTTGCTTGTATTTTTTTTTTGGTGCCAATTCAGGTGTCTGAACTCAGAGCCTGAGCACTGTTCCTTAGCTTCTTCACTCAAGGCTAGTACTCTACCACTAGAACCATTAACTCCACTTCTAGTTTCATGGATTTTCCTGCCCAGGCTGTTTTTCAGCCTCCTAAGTAGCTAAGTTACAGGCATGAATCACTAGTGCCCAGCTACTCAAGTTTTCTTTTTTTTTGGTATTCAGGTAAGGGGTAGGTTTATTCACTAGACCTGCTGGGACCAGGCAAGGTTGGCACTTCACACGGCTGGCAAAAGGCCTGGGAAAGGGAGCTGGGAGAGCTGGGAAAGAGAGAGAGAAGAGCTAGAAAAGAACAGAGAGAGAGCAGAGAGAGAACAGAGAACAGAGAGAGCTAGAAAAGAGCAGAGAAAGAGCAGAGAGAGCAGCTGGGCCTGGGCTAGGACTTATCTCACTACTCAAGTTTTTAAATGAAATTTCTAAAATTGAGTTCAATTTGTCAACTTCCTTACAGCTTTTTTTTTTTTTTTTTCTGCTTGTGGGGCTTGAACTCTGGGCTTGGCGTTGTCCCTCAGCTCTTCAGCTCAAGGCTAGCACTCTACCACTTGAGCCACAGCACCAATTCTGGTTTTCTGGTGGTTTATTGGAGACTCTGTAAGAGACTCACAGACTTTCCTGCCTGTGCTGGCTTTGAACCGTGATCCTCAGATCTCAGCCTCCTGAGCAGCTAGGATTACAGGCCTGAGCCACTAGCGCCTGGCTTCCTTACAGCTTTTCTATCCTGAGATAAATGAACAATCCTCACATAGACCCAATTTATACATTTAATAGCTGTCACTCTTGCCTCCCCAGACATTAAATGTTATGTGAAAAGCTGCTTTGCTTATACTATGAGCACTGCTTAATGATGTTTGATTGAAGGAATGAATGCCAAGCAGAATGAGTGATAGAGCACCAACATTTTACCTGGTCTCCATAATGCCATTTTCCAAGTAAGGAAATGGGCTCAGAAAGGCTGAGGTGATATGATCAAGACACACAGGCTCCCAAGTACATGGGTTTCCAACTTACAGTCTGACTTCCACTACTTTCCAGCAGCAAGTCCATGGGCAAACTAGCCTGAACTGTAACAACACCACAATGGTTGGGCACCAGTAGCTCACATGTGTAATCCTAGCTACTCAGGAGGCTGAGATCTGAGGATCACGGTTCAAAGCAAGCCCAGACAGGTAAGTCTGTGACTCTCATCTCCAATAAAACTAGCCTCCCATGCCACCTCAACCCCAGCAAAAAAAAAAAAAAAAAAAAAAAGCCAGAGGTAGAGCTGTGGCTCAAGTGGTAGAGTGCTAGCCTTGAGCAAAATAAAGCTCAGCCACAGCCCCTAAACCCAGAGTTCAAGCCCTATGACCAGCATGAGCATGCACGTGTGCACACACAGACACACAGACGGCTTATCATTCCAGAAGGAAAAAAATGTAAGGATTTCTGCTTCAAGACTATACTAAGTGCTCAAGAAAGAGGCTGACACAAGGCATACTGGGGCAGAAGCACATATGCCTGTCAGCATCTGGATGTACTTTGAGTTCAAGGGTAGCTTGAACCACAAAATTTGAGATGTCTCAACAAAACAACAGCAACAAAAACTCAGGGTTAAAATGTACTGTATTTGGGTCTAACTCCTTCAAGCCCTCCCAGCTGGAATGACCATGTTTCCTCCCTTCCTGACAGCTGAGAAGACAGCAAGAGCTCTTCCCACATTTCCCAAAGGCCAGGAAAACAGATGGTGATGACTGACAGAAGAACTTTTCCCCACATATGGTCCACCCTTTTCCTGGTACCTGTGACTCCCACTGACTTTTCCACCAGGTGCTGCCTAGCCCATTAATTGACTGACATCTGGAACCCCAGCCCACCTGGCTCCCAGGAAGAGAACAATCCACACTCTCCCACATTATTCAGGGATTGGGACACTCCAAAGCATCTGCCAAAGCCCATGTGGCTTGGGTGGCTCCCTCTGTGAACAGAAAGAAAAGCCACCAGTTTCGGCATGTACTGATAAAAGAGCGCACCAGTCCCTGGGGAAGAGATGACTCGTGGCCTGCCTGCTTTCCAATGCACAATGCCCAGTCATGAAGGCCACTGACTTTATTGATCTAAAAAACTTTACAAGGACAGTGACTTCTACCAAAAAAGGGGCCAAATGGCATTCAACAGACCAGAGGGGAGGGAGGGGAAGAAAGAGGCCAGGAATTCACTCTCAAAGGTGTGCAAGTGGCAGAGGAAGGAGGATGCATGCAATTCCAAAAAAGTTGAAATGACAAGGAGAGAACTCCCAAAAGACCCTGGTGTACATTGGAGGTGAGTGTGACAACAGCAATCTTTTCTTTTGCAGGAACGAGTCTCCACTCAGCTGCAAACACTGGAGACTCAACACAGGGGCAGGGGGTGGAGGGGTCTCCAAAGAGCATCACAAGAAGGCATCACACCACTCTCGAAGGCACCCAAAGCAGTCCCGGGACTGCTTCGCGTTGGCGCCACATGTGTCCTTCAGCCATTCCCGGAAGAGATCTTCATCTTTCTTTAGCACCAGAAACTGGCCAAGGACCACATAGGCCTGCAAAACAGGCAAAGCAAAGGGCATGTTGGTAAACGCTCTATGGGGTTGTAACAGGTGCTTAACAGCAGCTTTTGCTGGGAAGCACTGACTCCTCACTTGGGCCCACAAATAAAGTAAAAGCAGGATAAATGCTAGGTACTCCAACTTTCATTTTGTAAATGTCTTTTCTCCTGAACCAGTCTCTCCTGAAATCACTTTACAGCATGTTGGAATCCAGGAAATACCAGCCAACTTGTCAGGAGTCAATAACTGTAACAAGATCCCACCTGACCAACCCAGAGACAGTAAACCCTTAAAAGAAGTGGGGAGGGGGCAGGGAAAGAGAAATAGGCATGAGAACAGAGCTAGGCTAATAGGAGTAACTACAGATTAGTAACATCAAGTAGGTAGTTTGCATGCATGCAAGTAAAACGAGGGGGTAAGAGAAAATGACAGAGTGTGATTGAACTGCATACCTGAATGGAATGTCACAGTAAAATCCCCCTTAATGTAACTAAAGTATCTATTTTATTTATTTATTTATTTTTTGTTGGTCATGGGGCTTGAACTCTGGGCCTAGGCGCTGTCCCTGAGCTCTTCAGCTTAAGATCAGTGCTCTACCACTTGGGCCACAGCACCACTTCCGGTTTTCTGGTGGTTTATTGGAGATAAGAGTCTCAGGGACAAACTTTCCTACCTGGGCTGGCTTTAAAGGGTGATCCTCAGATCTCAGCCTCCTGAATAGCTAGGATTACAGGTGTGAGCCACTAGCTCCAGCCTGTATCTATTTTTTTTTTTTGGATCCGGTCGTGGGGCCTGAACTCTGGGCCTGGGCGCTGTCCCTCAGCTCTTCAGCCCAGGGATAGTGCTCTACCGCTTGAGCCACAGCGCCACTTCCGGCTTTTTTTCTTTTTGCTTATGTGGTGCTGAGGAATCGAACCCAGGGCCTCAGGCATGCAAGGCAAGCGCTCTACCACTGAGCCACCTTCCCAACCCCTGTATCTATTTTAAAAAGTTGGATGAAGCCAGATAACACTTTGCTATGTTTATACATAAAGTTACTGCATTTTTTGGGGGGGAGGGAGGGGTCGGTCATGGGGCCGGAACTCTGGACCTGGGAGCTGTCCTTCAGCTCTTCAGCCCAAAGCTAGTACCCTACCACTTGAGCCACAATGCCACTTATGGCCTTTTCTGCTTATGTGGTGCTGAGGACTCGAACCCAGGGCCTCATGCATGTAAGGTAACACTCTACCACTGAGCCACCCTCCCAGCCCCTGAAATTTTTTTTACAGTTGGTCGTGGGGCTTGAACTCAAGGCCTGGGAGCTCTACCTGAGCTTTTTCTGCTCAAGACTAATACACTACCACTTTAAGCCACAGTGCCACTTCTTGTTTTTGAGTCCACTTCATGGACTTTCCTACCTGGGCTGGCTTCCCACCATGATTCTCAAACCTCAGCCTCCTGAGTAGCTAGGATTACAGGAGAAGGCCACTGGCATGGCCTGTAAGACTCTTTTATCACCAATAAACTAATCAGAAAAAGTGAAAGTGTCACTGTGGCTTAAGTGGTAGAGTGCTAGCCTTGAGCACTGAGAGGCCCCGGCAGAGTCCAAGTCCTAGGACTGGCAATAAAGAAATAATTAATTAATTAAAATACAAAAGAGTTTAAAGGCTGGGTATCAGTGGCTCATGCCTGTAATCCTAGGTACTCAGAATGCTGAAACTTGAGGACCACAGTTCAAAGCCGTACTGGGCAGGAAATTCCGTGAGACTCTTTTCTCCAATTAAATACCAAAAGTCAGAAGTAGAGCTGTGGCTCAAGAGGGAGAGCACTAGTCATGAGCACAAAGCTCAGGGCTTGGTGCCCAGGCTGAATTCAAGCCTCAGGACCAGCACAAAAAAAAAAAAAAAAAAGTTGGGTGGGAGGGCAAGACCACCTTTGTGGCATTCAAAACACACAAGGTGGATGAAATCATAATATTCAGTGTATAGCTTATACAATTAAGAAAACTGCAGGTGGGTTTGAGAAGAATGTGGGAGAACAACGAAAGGGGTGACAATGATCAAGATGCATTGTACTCAACAAATGATTTGTTGACTGATTCTTTTTTAAGTCCAGGAGATAATCACCAGCGTAGAAACAATCACGTTACCCAACATTGAGCCACATAGCTACCTTTTCCTCACTCCCAATCTGTCCCGCAATATTCCATTCCCACACACGCAGCTCTCCCGCAGAGACCCCAGACCTTGTCAAAGCCCCTTTCCTCCAGCTTCTTGCCCAGGACTTCACCAATCCCGGCCAGGCTCCCCACTGGCTTTTCCCCCATGGGCTCGGCCACGAAATCTCGATGCTTTTGGGAGGTGGTCATCTTGATCGGTCTTAATCTGGGAATCCCAAGAAAACGCAAGTTAGGGCTGAAAACCCGGGAGTCCATAGGGCGCTCTCAGTTCCCTTCATTTCACAGATGAGGAAAATGAGAGCTATTCTGCCACAATTCAGAAGAGAACGCTTACTCCCCTGTCTGGGCCTGGGTTTTGGTACTGCCCCTGAGGAAACACTATACCGACGGGAACAGGTGGTGCCCGCAGAGCAGCGGGAAGATCCCCAGTTAACAGCCAGGGACCGCCCCGAAACTGTCGCTGTCGTGACCTTGCCGCAGCAAAGACCTTAACCCTGCCGGAAATAGCACCGCGGTGCGAAAAGGTGAAAGAAGGGACTCTGCACCCCACCTCACACTACCCAACACTGGCAGAGACACACAGCGGCCACCGCAGCCCAGCGGAATCCTCGCCTCGCGATAATTCCGCCCGCCTCTGCGAGTTCCGCCGACCGGGCCCGGCCCCGCCCCCAGGTGCCGGCTCCGCCCCCTCCACGAGCGACGGCTCCCACGCGCCACGCGCAGCCCCTCCCGCAGCGCGATGGAGTCCGCTTCAACGGCGCGCCCTCCGCACCGCCTCGGCAATGGGGCCCCGTCCCTCCCGTCCTCCCGCGCCTCCTTCGGCCTCCAGCCAAGGCCTGTTCCGCAGCTCGCGCTCACCCCGCAGCTCCGGCTCCAGTAACGGCTCCTCCCGCCACCCGGCCGCTCACGCCGATACCTCAGGGCGCTAGAACGTTCTTCGGCTTCCGCTTCCGGGTCGCCTTAAGACCCGCCCTAAGAAAAATACTATAAGTTGGGCGCTTCTAGCTGCCTGCGGGTCATAGAGCTGAGGCGCCCAGAGCCCGCGGCCTCCGCACCAGCCGCCCTCGGAAGCGGCGTCGCCTCCCGTGCGCTCGCTTTCCGGCGGCCCGCGTTGCCTGAGGAGGGAGCGAAGGCTCCTCTGCTGCCCGGCACCCGGAACTCTAGGACTTCATTTTGCCCGACCTGACACCAGGAAGGATTAGAGGGACGGACAAAGGAAAGGAAGGGTGGCCGGGAGGATTCCGAAGAGCGCCGGAAACTCCGTTCTTGTAGGCGTCTGACTCGGACTCGCTTCTGGCTTCGCGGGGCCTGGGAACACCGGAGATCGGGATTGACGCCGACTCCGCCGTCCCGATCGTCGGCAGGACCAGTCTTTGCGTCTTCGTTGGCTTAGTCTGGAAGCGAGTCGCGCTCGAGTCGCTCCCAGCGTCAGCTGACCCGACAGCGCCCGTGGACCCGAGGGCCAGGGTAAGTGTGCATCTTTATTCCCGGGCGGGAGGGGAGGGCGGCAGGGGCGGCAGCCGGAGACGGCGCGTCGGACTTGCTTTGGAAACCATTGGTCTTGGTGGTACTGAGTTCTCGACTATGGTAAGTCGGCTGACCGCGACTTTTAACAGGGTTCTGACTTGGACTGTCGTAGTGAGTTAGTCTCTGCCTGTGGTGTGCTGAGAGACTGAGCGTCTGTCTGTGTGTGGCAGTGCTAGACTTGGGGTGTACAAGCTGGTTGAATAAGGTTCAGTCTATGTCAGACTTCTCCGGAGAAGTTGCTAGAATGACTGTTCTAGATAACTTTCTGCTATGCATATAGTTTTTTTTAATTATCTTTAACTACTCATACAAAGGGGTTTTAAAGACTGAGTGTTCGTGGTTCATGCCTGTAATCCTAGCTTTTCAGGAGGCTGAGATCAGGAGGAAGATCATGGCTCAAAGCCAGACCAAGCAAGAAAGTCCATGAGACTCTTTATCTCCAATTAGCCACCAAAAGGCCTAAAAGTGGAGTTGTGGCTCAAGTGGTAGAGTGCTAGTCTTGAGCACAAGATATCAGAGACAGCACCCAGCCCCTGAGTTAAAACCCTGGGACCTACACAAAAAAAAAAAGGGGAAGGGGGTTAATTAAGAATGTCAGTTTATGGGGCTGGGAAGGTGGCCCAGTGGTAGAGCGCTTGCCTTGCATGCATGAAGCCCTGGGTTGATTCCTCAACACCACATAAACAGAAAAAAGCCGGAAGTGGTGCTGTGGCTCAAGTGGTAGAGCGTTAGCCTTGAGCTGAAGAGCTGAGGGACAACGCCCAGGCCCAGAGTTCAGGCCCTATGACTGGACCCCAAAAAATAAATAAGAATGTCAGTTTATGGGTACAGTGCATCTAGATCAGAGTCACCTCTCCCATTACTCCCCCTCCCATCAATCCCAACCTACCCATACCCTCAAGTTTCCTAGTTCCATTTTTACATATATACATCGAAGATCTCCTGTTTTTAACTAGAACACTCCTCAGTATAAGGCTGCACATCTTCAAAGCAGCCCTGGCTTCTGAGTCTGCCATCCAAAGACATCGTGAGGAGAAGTTGACAGTCTCTGCTTCACTAAGCACTCTGGACAGGACTCGGCATGTCTCAGGTCACCAAGAGGAAGCATGTGGTGAAGGAGGTGCTGGGGGAACACATGGTGCCCTCTGACCAGCAGCAGATTGTGAGGGTAAGTGGCACTGGGCCAAGCAGCTCTTCCTGGTTTCCACTTATATTGGATCCATGGGGTAGAGACTTATATTGGTTTTCCTGGAACAGGTACTCAGGACCCCAGGAAACAATCTACATGAGGTAGAGACAGCACAGGGGCAGCGCTTCCTGGTGAGCATGCCCTCCAAATACCGCAAGAACATCTGGATCAAGAGAGGTGAGAAAGGCAGCCCTCTAAGAGACAGTCCATTTCCTATGGCCTTGGCTTCCCCCAGTGCAAGTGGTGACTGGCTTTGTCTTGTGTCATCCACAGGAGACTTTCTCATTGTTGACCCCATTGAAGAGGGAGAGAAGGTAAAGGCTGAGATTTCCTTTGTGCTTTGCAAGGACCATGTGCGCTCTCTGCAAAAGGAAGGACTCTGGTAGGTTGGTCCCCACCTTGATCATTGATTGGCCCTCTGGCTCTTAGAAAGATTGACCTCCTATTGAGGAAACTACAGGAGGAAAGGTGCAACTGAAAACAGCTCTCTTACTGAGAGGTTTTCTCTAACCTGCCTCTTTTCTTGGCACAGGCCTGAAGCATTCTCTGAAGTGGCTGAGAAACAAAACAACAGGAACAGGTGAGAAGCAAGTTCTAGGTCAAGGGACACAAAAGGAGGGCCCACATGTGATTCCCGGAGGGCACCTTGAGCCTACCTTTCTCCCTGTGCACAGTACCTAATGAGAACTCCCAACTCTGTGCTAGAATATAGTGTTTTTGTGTCTTGTTTTTTGAGATTGGTCTCTTAACTTTGCTTGGGCTGACCTTCAATTTGAAATCCTCTGCCTGTCACCCAAGTAGCTGGAACTACACTGTGGTATCTACCACCATGCCCTACTATAGGGGACAATCTTTAGCCTGTTTTCTTTGGCCAAGATTTCCACCTGTTTGCTTGATTCCATCCTTCCTTTTAGTCTTTAAGGGACTGCTGCATTTTTGAAGACCTGTGTATTCCTGGCTGCTTGACTAAATGGTGTTTTTTTGGGGGGAAGGGCTGGGGGGGTGGGGAGGAATGGGGAACTCCTTGGTTTTCCCAGAAGGTGTTGAACTAACTCTGTTGTCTTCGTTTTGCAGACAGCCTCAGCCAGAGCTTCCGGCTGAGCCACAGACCTCAGGAGAAGAGTCTGGCTCTGAAGATGATTCTGACCTCTTTGTTAACACCAACCGCAGACAGTATCATGAAAGTGAGGAGGAGAGTGAAGAGGAAGAAGCAGCCTGAGACCCGGGGACCCACTTCTCCACTTGCTCAGGGATTAGTCCCTGGTTCCTCTGGGCTTGGACATTCCCAAGGTACCCTGCAGATCTTCTCCCCTGGATGGGGATGAGGCAGGGTTCCCCTTTGAACTGACTTTCTGATCTAGGACAATTAAACCCCTGGTGGGTAGTGACTTGTACTGGTGTCTGAGTAGATCTCTGTGTGGAGATGGGGTAGAAATGACCAAACAAACCAATCAGCCTCTTGAGGAGGCTTTAGATGCCAGTGGGCAGAATGGGGAGGAAAGAGGGATGGACTAGAGTCTTTCCCAGGTAATTTATTCACTCAAAGTCTCATTGGACATTTAGAAAGCACCAGGCTTAGCCAGTGGTCCATGCCTGTAATCCTACTGAGAGACTGACGTTGCTCATGCAGGAAAGTGTGAAACTCTTATCTCCAATTATGTACCCCGCCTCCCCCCCCAAAAAAAAAAAAACAGAAGTGGAATTATGGCCTAAGTGGTAGAGAGCTTGGCTTGAATAAAAAAGCTCATGGACAGAGCCCAGGCCCTGAGTTCAAGCCAACAGAAAAAAGCAAACACCAGGCCTTCGGTGATACAATACTGTTAACCAAAATGAAAAAAAAAAAAAGGTTTAGGCCTAGGCCTAGTACTATATATTTACCTTGCATAAAGTTTTTAACATCTAGGAGACATTCCACTGCATTGCCTACTTTTAAGATAATAACAATTCAAACATTCAGGCTTACAGCCTAGGACCCAGTGCCCACCTGTCTACAAAATGCTCAGGAGGAATCCCAAGGTGCCTCTGAGTCACTCTCCTAGTCTTTGTAGTCATCTGTTACAAGAGCACTGGTTAAGCTGCTGTCAGTTATAATTAGTTAGACCCTATCTCAACTTACCTTAACTATAAACTCCAGAATGTGGGCTTGTGGTCAGCAAACCTATTTTCTTTTTCTTTTTTTTTTTTTTGTCGGTTGTGGGGCTTGAACTCTGGGCCTGGGCGCTGTCCCTCAGCTCTTCAGCTCAAGGAGAGCGCTCTACCACTTGAGCCACAGCGCTACTTCT